TTGAAAGCAATGAATCTTTTTGGTGTACACCAGCAGTCCCATTAACATAATTCTTAAATTTCTCAATCCCATTAACATAATTCTTAAATTTCTCATCACTTCTATCATTTGTTTGTACACTGAAGCACAGAACTACTTACACAAAGCAATGGTATTTGCTTTTTAATAGCTTTTTAACATGTGCTAATGGGTTCTGGATTCCTATCATCATTGTTTTATGATATGAAATGTGCAATATAAATTGTTTCCAATTGATTAAAGAGATTATATTATAATTAACTGGAGTCTTTGAATTTTTTTCATTTTAATTTTAGTTTTTTTAATTTAATATTGGAAGACTCAACCCTAGAAATGTCCATTAGGTAGTTAAGATAGATTAAGGCATATTTTATGAGAGAATTTTTTTATTGTGAAAATACTGTGCAGAGGGGTTACAATTACATGGGCAAGATAATGAGCACATTTCTTATCAAGCATTGTAGCCTCCTCCTTTGTTTCCCCTTCCCATCCCATCCTGCCCCCCCCAACCAACACTCCTCCCCCCCAACCAAAGTTGTAAAGTTCGTTTTTGACATACGACTTGTACGTCTCATGAAGCTAGAGATCCTCATAAGATTTCAGTCTCATAAAAATCAATGCAAAGTCTCCCATGAAAGCATTGGCAAGTTCTTAAACACAGCAATTCCTGAAAAATCTAGAGATCAAACAAGTCTCTCCAAGTCAAGGTCAAAGAAAAAAACCAACCTGTGTCTACCTCTGGGGGTATTTTTAGAGCATACTGGCTATCCTCAACATATCAAAACTGTCCATTCCTGCATTTTTTAAGGTCTCCTATACATTCTTTGAGTCTTCTAAACTTTATGTCTCTTGGATTTAAAGTCAGATATCTAGAGGTCAGTCATAGCTTTATATTTTAATCATAGTTGTTTAATAAGTAGGTATCATACCAAAAAACGCATAAAAGCCACCAATGGCTGAGAATTTACAAAGTAATTATATATGTGATAGAAAGGAAACGAAAAGCACTAGGGAGTAAAAGGCCAAGCCCAAAAGGAAAGATACTGATAATAGTGAAAGCCTAGTGAGTTCTCTCTACAGATGTGAACTACAATCTTCAAAAGTACAGGTAATGTAATGGCCAATTAACCATCACAAAGCAAGCATTCAATGCACCATAATAGTTGCAAGAAAGAAAGGGGGAGAGAGGAGGGAAAGAAGGAAGGAAGGAAGAAAGAAAGGAAGGAAGGAGGAGGGAGGGAGGAAAAGAGAAGGAGAAATATGGAGGAAGGAAAGATGGAGCAAAAGAGGAGAAAATTCTTTGGAATTGATCATTTGATTTTGAACTAATAACAATGTCCTGAAGACCAGGGCCAAGAGTTCAGCCTGGGATGAGGAAGGAACTCTGGAGGTTAAGAGCAGCGATGGTCTGACATTGTAAATGTTCTGACCACCAGTTAATTGTCTACCTAAAACTAGTTTAAATGGCAACTTGGAGGCTATGTATATTTTACCAAGTAAAACAAAAATAATTAAACGTAAGTCCTTCCTTTATAACTGGAGTATAAATGCTCTCTCTGTCTCCAAACTCAATATGATCTGTCAAGTTGTCCTTTGCATGTGGATTTTTTTTTTTTTAGTCCTAGGGCTTAAACTCTGGGCCTGGGCACTATCCCTGAGCTGTTTGCACTCAAGGTTAACGCTCTACCCCTTGAGCCACAGCACCATTTTCTGACTTTCTGACTTTTTCTGAGTAGTTTATTGGACATAAGCATCTCACAGATTTTCCTGCCTAGGCTGGCTTCAAACAAGGAGCCTTAGGTCGCAGCCACTATTGCCTGGCTGTGTGTGGATTTGGTAGCAGGGAGAAGAAATGGTAATCAATGTCAGATTCCCAGAAGTGGAAACAGAAAACGACCATTCATTAGGAAGAAGAGATTTTAAATTCAATACATTTTCCTAAAGTCGAAGTTCAGAACCAAAATGAAGAGAAATGAAAGATACCATTCCCAGCCTCTCCATTGTGGGATTGTCCACAGACGTTAGTGAGTAGCCAGCACTTCCACAAAACACTGGAAAGAAATAGACCTCATCTCATCTCATTTAAATACCCGGTGATGCTGCCTCAGCTAGAACTGTATGCCACACAAGTTATTTCAGTTTGGCCCAGAAAACTGAGGCGGGAGATGCTATTGGTATCTCTGATTCCGAGGTAAGCTGACGTAGGCTTAGGGCTATAAGTAACCCACATTCAAGTGTCAGCGCGAGTGTCAGGGTAAGCTGTCTTCCTCACAGCTACAGGATATTGCAGGAAGACTGAATTTTCAGGCCTTGGGTTAATAAGAGAAAGAAATGATCACATTCAAAATAACATAAATACTTATTTAGTTATTTTATTTTTTCAGTTGTGGTGCTTGAATTCAGGGCCTGGACACTGTCCTGAGACTCTGTGCTCAAGGCTAGTGCTCTACCCCTTGAGCCACAGTGCCATTTCCAGTTTTTGAGTGAATAATTGGAAATAAGAGCCTCATGGACTTTCCTGCCTGGGCTGGCTTCCAACTGTGATGGTCCCCTGAGTAGCTAGGATCACAGGTGCGAGCCACCGATGCCTGGCACACAGCTCTGTCTTCTAAAAGACTTCTCCAAGACCAGCTCTGCCTTACAGTTCATTCATTTACTTTATTTACTTATTCATGTATTTACTGATTGACTTGTTTATCTGGGGAATAGTGGTGCCTAGCTCAAGGATTTGTGATTGACAAGCAGGTGTTCTACTATTTGAGCCATGCCCACCTCCTAACCCTGTTTCATTTTCTATTATTTTCAATTGATGTCCAGGGATACATCCTTCCAGTCTTCACCTCCCAAATAGCTAGGATTACAGGTGTGAGCCGCCATACCCAGCTGAAACTTTATAATGATTTCTTATGTAATAAAGTAATATATTTATTTAATATTTTTATTTAATTAGTATTTATCAATAATATATTTAGTAAATGTATCATATGTATTTATTTAATAAATAGATTTATTTAATATATGTATATTCTTTTTATTAAGGTATTCTTATATTAAGGTAAAGAATGGTGGGGTTTTTTAAATCAACTCTCCCTAATAGCAAAACATTAATAATGATAATTTTCCAAATAAAGGCAAGGAAACAGATTGCTACAACATCACTGAATGCTCACACTACAGTAAATAGCCCAAGCAAAGGTCTATTCCTATCAGACCATAACACTATTTCTTAGATTCTTAATATAACAATTTTACTATTGCAGCAGATTGATCATTTAAGTAAAAATAGAGAGGATCCATATCACCGTATTTGTATGGAAGCCTATAAATCTGAAGAATGTACTTTTTAGTCTGTCAGACTCTGAAATACTTTGAATTTTCCAAATCCTCGGCGAAGTGATTAAAATAAACAATGAGAATCTTACAAGGCTCGAGTTAGAAATGGCCATTTAGAGTCTCTCTAGTGACTTGTATTTTAAAACAAACCAGAGCATTTTAGAAAGCTAGAATATTTCTTTTACAAAGAGAGCCCATGAAGCTGATGCCTAGTAGAAACCATGTCTTGCTTTACTGAGAGATTAATGTTAGTCATAGAAAACATTTTCTCCTTTCCTTGCAGGAACAGCAGCAGAGAAAAATTGAAGGTAATGCATCTATACAGAACTCATTTGTATGTTTTATCTCTTAAAAAAAACCACTGAAATAAGGAAAACATTTGTACTACCAACAGAGAGCAATGACGGGTCTCTGCCAGGCGCTAGTGCCTCCTGCTATCACTCCTGGTGCATGTGCCTCCTATGTCTCTATTTTCTGTAAAAATTGTCTCCTTCCATTTCTCCTTGAACAACTCTGAAGAGAAAACATAGACGAATGTGTCTGCACATGACAGATGGAAAGGGTAAAAGCAAACCACTTGGCAACCAATTCTCCCTTTCTAATAAAGGGTCAAAGGAGTTCACACATCCATCCCCACCCAGCCACGTTGATGTTTAGGGAGAACAAATGAGTAACCTCAATAAACCGATACTTACGGGATCCCTTTTAAGCCCCTTCTGTGCAGACTTAACTAACATGTCTGAGGTCTACAGGTTTGCTTGAGTAGGTGAGGAGAGGAGAGGTTGGGGCTGCCATTTGACAGAAATGCCTCACAGCATCTGAAAATCAACTTCCCTTCCTTCCTCCTTCTCCGATCTTCCCACAGCTCACTGTGGAGGGATCTTTTCAAAGATTTCCACTGTGGTCTGCTTCAGTAAACCTTGGAAACTCTGGATCTGCTCCTCCCTAAACTGCAGCAGGCTGTGAACTGCTTTTCTTTTCCCTCCATGCAAGTCATTCTCCAATTCTGGGAAGACTGAGGAGGATATTGAAGATAAGTCACCCCGTGGAATCCTACAGTCCTTACATCATTCACCAGGCTCTCTGTATAAAGGAAATGAAAGGTGATCTGTTTGCTCACCCATGGAACACAATGACTAAATCTATCCTCTGCTCAGGAAAAAAAAAAAATCAAACCCTGATCAGCAAAGAATATTCCATATAAAATTTTTAAAAAGAGAAAACCTTACAAATAAAGAACTGCCGAGACATACATTTGCAATGCCAACTAAATGCGAGTTTATTGAGAAATACACAGTGAGACAGCTCCCTTTTTTTTTTTCTTTTCCAGAAACACAAAAGCAGAAGCCAGGCGATACAGCAGCAAGGTCAAGACACATCTAAAGCATGAGGACTACTGGACTGTGGGTGGTAAAGTCTTTGGAAACATCAAGAGACTTCCACAGCACGGGGGATCAACCCCTAAAATTATCTCAGTGCTGGCCAGAAACATTTTTAGAATGCCGAAGGCAGCTCTTGCATGGACGGCGGCCAGCCAGCAGGCAGTCAATCGTGGTCAGCAATGTCATGATGGAGGCAGCATGTTGGAAGATTCTGGAAACAGCTGGCAGGGCATGGAGTCTTGAGTCACTCACTGGCCGGAAGCATACTTAGCAGGGTCTTTGGTAGCTGGATACACAGGACTGTTGGTACGTCCTGATTGGTTGGCAGGTGGTTGAAATTCCTCCCACTGGTTGGCAGGCACTAGCGATGCCACCCACTGGTTGGCAGGTGCTGGAAATGCCTCCCAGGGGTCGGCAGCCGCTGGAGACAAAGGTGACTGGCCGGCTGCAGGGCCTTGAGCAGGGGTTGGAGACACAGCTAGTCTGTGGAGAGCAAGTTACCTGGACAGGGCTGGAGATGCAAGTTGTTCTCTGGTAACACGGCGGCTGGCACACAGTGGGCTCACAACTGGTCTCCTGACAATGATCTAAAAGCCAAGAGCCAGTTTGGAAGGAGCTGGGCAAATAGAGGCCACTCAGGCAGTCAGCATCCTGGGTTGAAGACGTGGCAACTGGGGCCCCTGGCATAGTGTATCGTCCTCCGATGGGTCTGGAAGAGCAATTGCTTGTAGAGCAGTTGAAGGGCATGATGGCAGATAGAGGGCTACAGATGTCTGTCTGAAGTTAGCTCCTGAATGGTGAATGTCATTCCAGGCTCCTGAGCTTTTTAATATATATATATACACTCTTGCTAGTGGGTGGAGCTCCTTCAGTGGTCTCTCTGGCTTCTATTGCTTTAGAACATCTTGTGAATCCACACATTAATTATCTCTCAAGAAGCCTTCCTCCTCATAAAGGAAGTTAATAGTTTGGCAACGAAGTCATAAGTCTTCTGCATTGTATTTACTCCAGATTAAGGAGGAGGGTGGCTTACAGCTTCAAAGCGATTGGTCATCCTTGCCCGCCATTGAGCCCCCATTCATCTTTCTTGCATCCAATGAATGTCAATCTGATGGCAACACCAAACATGCCACTGAACTGCATCACACACTCTCTCTCCTTCTGACTGATTACAAACCTACACCCTGTTTGGTTTTGTCACTGGCACTTAATATGTTTTAAGCATAACTTAATCAGTCATTCTTCCCCAGCTAACGGAACTTTTCATAAGGAAGGAATCTCCTGACATCTGCTTCAAAATGAGAACGACAAGACCTACCAGATAAAAAAGACACAAAGATTGATAGCCCAAGAAGAAGCTAGACTCAAAATTAATAGACTGACCAGAAGAAGATGTCCACCAGAAGGCTAGAGGGCTGTGAAGACCACCCTTTCTGGTCAAGCAGTGAAGAAAATTAAATGCTAATTAAGTACAACCACATTTATTAGCCAAGACCTTTGCCAAACAAACTGGATAAGCTTTCTTCCTAAAAAATTTAAATGTAAGCACACTGCATAACAGCGTTTCCTGTACTCCATTAATATGCCGGTGAGACAGGCTTTGATAATCTTTAAATTATTATAATGTTAATTTGCAAGGGTATAGGGTCTTTATCCCAATTTGCTCAATGTATTCAACACATATTTATTGCCACGCAAGTGCTTATAGATAGGACACATTTTAATCATGGATAAACTAAAGACTCTCCAAGGTCATTGTACTATCACAGATAAGGGTAGGCAGGGGGAAGGAAGAACAAGCACTTAATCAATTCTTGGTAATTAGTGGATACATAAAGAGTTTTCTATAATATTTAATTATTCCTTTTATGTTCAGGGAAACTACCAGGATATTGCTCTCTTTCATTTCATCTCGCTATAAAGTAGTCAGCTCTGAACGTGAAAATTACTGCGCCTTTTGGTCCACCCGTACAACAGGCGACCCAGCAGCTTTGGCTCTGGAAAAATAAATCACTTCAACATAAAGTGGTCAGTGATATTTCAGCCTCAAAACAAGCGTAAGTCCTGAGTCATTTCGTAAAACTGGTTTACATGGGGTACAGTAATGGATTTACATCTATTTGAGGGCTTCCAGCTCTGCTATGTTTTAAATATCCACAAAGCAGTTTTATGTCAGAACTCATCAGAAGTCCCCTTGCAAAAGCAGCATTCATCTCACTGGAGGCTAGTGAGTCACTCTAAGAAGAAGATATTCTGCTGTGGGCTATATTAGAATTCCCAGGGAGCAGTCTTCAGTGACTCCAAGAGTGTTCTCAGGAACATGGGGAAATTAACGAGATGACTACTTTCCACAGTGTTGAGAATATGCTGTTCCCACCACCAAGAATGTCCCAGTGGGTGTTGGAAGGTCAGAGAGTCTGGTTAGACTCTCTGCTTTAAAACAGATGAGTAGTTTACAGGCTTCTCCCAGCTGAAGATGTGTGGGCTAGGACAGAAGAGAATGCATCGTGTCACCGGGGCCACATTCCCAGAATGGCTGAGTTATTATTGGGTCCAAGTTCAACTTTTTCACTCAGATTTGGAGATCACAAACAAGCTAGAAAATACCTTTTATCCATTTCAGAATGGAAAGAGATGGGTGTTTTTTTTTAGCACAGGAGGCTGGTGCAAGTGTTGAGGATTTATATATCCGATCTCCCAGAATCCTTCCAGCAGCTCTGGGGGTAGGGCTGATGACTCATGAAAGAGATCAAGTCCAGGGAGACTGAATGGTGTTGAAGTCATGCAGTTTGCATTTAGCTAAGATGAGACTCAATAAAATAAAGTCTAGGAGCTACCAATCCACATCGAGATATCGTCACTGAAGTGTGAATACAATTCTTATTTTTCAAAACAAAATCATTGTTTCCTAGATGTTACATAAAGGTTATAGTTTTCAACACTTTTCAGGTTTATAAATTGATTCTCAACAATAATTAATTAACAGATGCTATTCTTATACTTCTTAAGATAGTTTCTTTTACATTTGATATATTTTTAATATTTTTACTTCATTCCAATAAGGAGCAAAGGTCACTATAAACAAAGCCAAAGGAACAGAGAATCATCAATAGTTTGAAACTTCAGTTTTAATTTATAATTATTTATAATAGCTGTCTATATAGCTAATTTAAGTACAGCCAAGGAGTGAATTGATTTTCCATTTTCCAGGGAACCTACCACTTCATAGCTGTTAGGTAGAAGACAATTCTAAGGTATTAGTTTTTTTTATAACTTAATTACTAAAAACAAACTACCGGTTGTGACTGAAAGCTGACTACTTAAATCCTATACTAAAATGACTCCAGATTTGGCAAATCATGTTTTTAGAAAGCCACTTAGACCAGAAAAGTCTGCGCATTTCTCTGATCTTCAGTGAAACACTAAGAACACAATTAAGAAAGTTATTTTATACTTTTTAAAAATGTATTTTCTTTTAAGATGTGAACATTTTGACTACTGAGATTTATAGAAAACTACAAATAAAGACAACTCCAAAATAGATGTAGCAATGAAAAAAAAAGACAACTCAATTGGTAAGATTTAGAAATGAACTGTGTCCCTACAACACACTCAGATACATTCAAGGCTTGGTCTCAATTGCAATGTTCTGAGGTGGAACTCTGAGGAAGTGATTAGATCTTCACAGCTCTGGCTTAATCAGTGGACTCATATTTTGATGGATTTATAGTTGAAGGGACTACTGGGAAGTGACAGAAACTCTGGAAGATAGGGCCTGGTTGGAGGAAATAGGTCCTCCAATCAGGGTGATGCCAGGAAAGGCTCTCTTATGCACAGTCTCTTCCTATTGCCAGTGATGACTTAAAAATAAGATCTTTTTTTTTTTGAGGGGTGTAACAACTTGAAAACATCAGGCTGCACTGAGTCTTGAGTTTTCTTTTAATTTCAAAATTTTGTTATTATAAAAATGATATAGAGAGAGGTTACAGCTAATGAATACATTCCTTTTTGGACAATGTCACCCCCTCCCTCACAAAGAGTGATCTCTTATCCACAGCCTCTTGCTATTGCTGACTTGTTCTGCTTCTTGGTTGCCATGAAGTAAACAGCCTCTTCTGCCTCCCCTCTCCTTCCCCCTCCCCCATCTTCTCTGTGATGTTCTACTTAACCATAGCTATGGAGATGGTTATACATAGTCTGGAACTTACATAACCATGAATTAAACACACACACACGCACACACACACACACACACGCACACACACACACGCACACACACACACACACACACACGCACACACACACACGCACACACACACACACACACACACACACACACACCCCTTCCTCCCTTGTTTTCTCAGGTATTTGGTCACAGTGATGAATAACCAACACATACACTGACAATCACATGAAACTCAAAGAAACACTCTACAATTCCCAGTCAACCACACCAACAAGTTCATTGGAATTGAAAGAAAAATAATAGGCAGCCACTCATCACTCCCCTCACACAGTGATGAGCGAAATGAAACTCGAACTCTGCAAAGAAGACGAGAAGATTATCCTCTTGTCTGTGGAGCATGAAGTGAGGAGCATGTGATGAGAGCAGAAGAGGAGACATCAGAGAGCCACTGCACATTGTCTTCACTGCTGATGGGTAATTTGCTCTCATTTGTCTAGAACAATCTGAGTCTTATACAATAATTATCACAGGCTGGAAATGAGCAATTCTTTCGCTCAGAACTGAATCACAGCGATCACTTGCAAAGGCCAAGCATTGTAGAGTAACATGAGTTAAACAGGTGTAGGAGGCTGAAGGGTGGGTATGGCAGAAAAGATATTTTCCATCATAGAGTTAGTAATAGATGTTGACCAACATCAATTCATAGAAAATGGCTTAGCTTCACTAAACAGAGCAATGGCAAACTTGCAGAAAATTTAATAACGATAAAATGAAATTTGGTTACTCTGCATTTTTCATGATCACTTGCTCAATTTGAAGCTATTGTTTCTTAAATACAATAATGAAATTCAAATGTTTAAGTACAGAACATAATAACTGTTGTAAAAATTAAATACATCTAAAACTTGGAAAAAATTAAATTAAGTGAAGTAAGCCAGGCCCAAAGAAACATAGGTCCCATGGTTTCCCTTATTTGCAATATCTAGTATATGTATG